TTTAAAACATAATATTTAAATGTTAAAGAATTCTATTCAAAATGTTTGATCCTGATGATGGCTACACAAATAGTCAAAAGCATTAGATAAAATTAAAAATAGTTGAATAGGTTTTTTGTCTTTAATTTACAATCCAGTTAAAGCTCAATATATGAAATAAAAGAATTGAATGTGAAGAAATGTTATCATTTATACAAAGACTTCAATTGACTTATTTCGATTCTAAGAAGAAATACAAGTCTGAAAAGATTTTTTACAGATGAAGTTATTGCGCATGCATATGGAAATATGACAGATGGACAAAAGTCCTAACATAAACACTTCATCACTATAGTGGAGCATGCTAAAAAGAGCATAAAATTGCACATAACTCAAAATTCATACAATAAATTTTTTTAAATGTTAAATTGTATATTTCACTTAATTCATTTTTACTTTTTTTTAATTTACATGCTTTAAAACCATTCAAATTCAACTACTTCTTAAAAAACTTTTTATAGTGAAATACTGTTTATACATTACATATTATTTATAAGTCACTTGGCATTGGTCTAAAACATTCTTATGCCCATCAATAGTTAAATATGTCATTAATACATAGAAATTCATTATGCTGTTTCATTTATCCATTGTTTCTTTTCTCATGAAGATAACAATTATTTCAAATTTCTTTTAGAAAATGTACTCAGAATTCCTAGAACACATTTTTGTTCCATTCTTGTATCTTTCTATACTCAAGAAGATGGAACTCTGACAATAAGCAACTCTACAACTTCCATACTCTTTCCAGCAAATTTTAGAATAATTTGAAAACCTGACACAGGTTGCTTAAAGAAGCTGAAAACATGTCACAATAAAAAATTTTTTGCTGGAAAGAGTACAGAAGGTATGGTTATTGCTTGGTTATACCTTGTACCAATGCTTATTCTTGTATCTTTTTCTTGGAGTTGCCAAATTTCTATGAATGGATTAAAGAACACCAAAAAAAGTGTTTAATTCTACTGTTTTCCAATTTTTTTACTCCACCCTCTACCACTCCAAAATAGTAAAATTGATTAATTTTTTAGTTAATAACTAAACCTTCTGTTTATATTTTTTAGATTTTGATTTAAAAATTAATTTTCATATTACTATAAATATTTGCAAATTTTGTTTAATTTAGAATTTGATGGTAAACAATAGCTTTCTACGGGAGAAGGTTATGGTATGGTATATAAGGCTAGATACACTTCTGTACAGAAATCTGTTACTGCCATTATGAAACATGGGCATTGACATGAAAATTGCATCCTTTCTTGTTTCAAAAAAGGACAAGACTCATTTAGCCTAAATAAATGATTTCTGGCAACCTTATTTTCTCTTCACATTCCTGGAATTAAATGGTGTAAAATTAAACTACTTTCAGTCTATTCTCTCTCAGTGAAAGATTAGCAGATTATTAGCTAATAAGTAACAACAATATAGAACGGGTCGGCAACCTGCAGCTCGCGAGCCACATGCAGCTCTTTGGATGTGAAGCTGCGGCTCTTTAGTTCCATACGCAAATATTTATTTTATCAAAAAAAAAAAAAAACATTTAAAAATCGTTCTGAATCGATTAACGAGGATTAGGCACCGATTCTATCTCTCAGCCACTTGTACTCGCTTTTCACCGCACCCCTCCCCCGTGACACGCGTCGTCACTGTCGTCAGTCCGTTGGAAGCTCTCGAATGACGCCGTCGTCGGATGTTTCTATTATCTAATTTGTTGTGAAAAACACTACTTATATATGAATAAATAGATTAGTTTTTTTTTTTAATCAAAAAACTTTATTTATGCGAGTACTATTTATTGTTGGCAAGAAAAAATTTTGTGGCTCTTTAAAAACTTTGAAATTTTGTAAATTGTAATTTTGGCTCTTCCGACTCAAAAGGTTGACGACCCCTGATATAGAAACATGTAAGTTTTATTTGTCTCCTCAGAGTTAAAGTCCATAAACAAATAATTCCATTAACAAGTTTATTTCTGAAATTATTGTAATATGCAATTCTAATATAGAACTCTTAATATTGTTGAATATTTTGAAATGTAAAAATTTGTAGAGGATAGAAAGCCCCCTTGCCACTGGTTTGAATTTTAAACAGATGTAGGCATTTATTGATGTTAAGCAGGTATACAAATCATCTCTGCTCTACCATTAATTACTAAAGCTTAAAAATAAAGCACACAATAAAAACTCCATCTTATGCTGTATCCTGACTTATTTTTATAAGTCAGGATACAGCATTTTTATTGTGTTTCACATTTTCTTGGTCTGATCCTATAAGATACAGTGCTCCATTGCAATTATTTATAAACTTAATTACTGTATACAGTATAATGTTATTTCAATATTTTTTTGACAATATGAAAATCTGTTTTGATAATTATTAATAATATATATAACTTAATAGCTCATTATATGATAGCATACAAACTAACACTAGTATTTTATTATGCTTTTAACAGTTAACCATAAGCATAAAATTAATTCTTGAACAATACAAAAATAATTAAAATTGTGAATTATCTTGTTTAATATTTTTAATAAAACTGAAATCCATAAAATATTTATTGATATCATACTGGATGATCATAAAAGTAATTAGCAACATTGTAATTACTGTTAATAAAAGTTTTTAATGTTAACAACTGCTGCTTTACAACTGGTTAATGCATGCATGCTTCAAAAAGTTTGTGGAAAAAATCCGTAACTAAAAATTGTTTGGAAGGATTTTGATTTCAATGCACCTGAACATTCTTATACCAATGTGTTATAACTTGTTCAAACATGAACCCTTAAATGCAGGTAAGAACATAGCGCCACCAGTTGAAAGTCAGGCACCATTCAAGCAATATGGAATCCACCAAAATCGAGATCAAAACAAATATAAAGTTCATGGTGAAACTTGGTTGGGAGAATAAGCAAATCATTGATGCTCTGAAATAAGTTTATGATGATAATGCTCCAAAGAAGTCAACAACCTATGAATGAATAAGTTGCTGAAAGGTACCAATTTTCCATCAGTTGAAGATCTAAAAAGAGCTGCTCTGACATGGTTCAGATCACAAGACCCTCAGTTCTATTCAGACAAACTTAAAGGCTGGTATCAACGTTTGCAGAAGTGTATCAACCTTAATGGAGCATATGTTGAAAAATAAACAGCATAACTGAAATCGTTTTTCATACTATCCTTTTTTCCACAAACTTTTTGAAGCCCCCTCATATTAGACAATAATAAATGCTGCAAAAACTTAACAAACCAGCAAAAAAATTATAAACAAATTGCAAACATTTTCACTGGGTGATAAACAGGCATTTTCAATATGTGACAATTTCCTACTAATTCATTAATATCCAACATTCAAGGTCAGTTGTAGAAATGAATTCTAAACAAAGAAAACTACTTTTTAGATAACTCATAAATCAGGTTTTTATTATTTACTAGCAGACCCCGCCACGCATTGTTGTGGCTCAAAATGTATCTATTATAAATGTATAACACTTCCCCCGTGGGGGAAAATTTTTCGAAAAATTTCTTCTTAGTGTACATTCTCTTGACATACCCTATTAAAACGCAATAAAAAATGCAAAAAACAGCATCTAAAATAGTATAAATAGAAACAGAGTTCTTTACAGTAAGCCTTAATCCTAACCATCGCTCTTCAGTGCGGGGATTTCGACATGTATATTATATAAAAATACGTGTGTATTCGAATGCAGCATTGTGTCAAAATTTCAAAGGAATCGGTAGGAACAAACGAACGTTACATTTTTATTTATATAGATAGATAGAAGATGATCTGCTTTATACTATAGTACAGTTATAGAATTTATTTAGAAGTCAAACACTTCAAATTTTAATTTATTTTTAAAATAAAGTTGTTGGCATTCATGATATATAAAAAAAACCTGTAAGTAAATTTCTGATTCTGATATGACTATAATAAATAAATTATCTTTCTTAAACACAGAAATTAAATAAAACATCTTCATTAAATTACTAAATAAATCTGAAAAAATTTAATATTCATTTTTAACTTGTTAATTTAAAAATATTTTTATATTAAAACTGAGAATTATATTTTAATATATTGTGATGTATTAACAGTGTAAACTTCTTAATCATAGTTATAATAAACCGTTTATTTGAGATTAAATAAATAAAATTATGCCTGTAACTAAGAATGAAATCATTTAATTTTACTATTTATTTTTATGTAGAGAATAAACAAACTTTAAATAATGAATTTAGTTAATGGAAAATATAAAATCTATTATTTAATAATAGTATACATGCTTAGAAGAAATATGATCTTCCAATCAAACATTAAATTATATTTGTTTTAATTTATACAACCTATTTAATTATTTGATTAAATTATATAATTAAAAGAAACAAAGCATTTTATATACACATACATTTGTATGACAGGATAAAGAATTAGGAATAAAAGTAATCTTATATTAAATCTTGCTTTTTTTCTTCCTAAACTAAGACTAATTATTATAATTTTATACAGATTTAGGCAATCAAAAATTCTCTGCAGATTCATTTCTGCTTTAGTACTAAAAATAAACTCATACACAATATTCATCATAAATCTATAAACAGTATATTATAACAATGACAGAAATTGATATATTTTTATTCATGAAATTTGTGTATAAAATTACATAAATACATGATAAAATATACAAGAAAATAAAAAATATTTAACAAAAATTTTTTTATTAATTGTTATCATTCTGACTAGACACTTATTTCTATTAAATATGATAATTTGTCATAATTGCTTAGAAATTCTGTAAGCCATCTTAACATCACAAGCAATTATCTAATTATAATTTACATACTTTTGTTCAAAATATTCCAATCAGATCAAAATTATACATGTATTATACGAATGAAATAACTCATGAAGTTGCTTTTCATTCATAAAAGAAAATATCATGATAGACAAAACACAAAATACCTACCGCTGGACTAACAACTGCTTTCCTTTTCCTTCGTAAGATAGTTGGGTGAGGTTTCCCTTCTGAAATTCTTGAACTCTTCCCGTTAGGACTAGTCGAAATCAGATCCATTTTTTTTCATTAATACACAATATTTTAACTAATCTAAAGGTTTAATAAAGTCTAACAGCTTAACTTACCCAATTTTATTCGACATACTGCAAACACGCGGTAACTTCGAAGTCCTAACTGCAAATGTAAAATACATAATTTTGGCGGGATATAAAAATTGAAAGTGTCTAACATCTAAATATCTAATTGTAAAATATATAAAACCCGATTAATAATTAACTAAATGGTAAAATAACTAGCGAAAAAAATCTCCTGATAACCGTCGATTATTTTATAAGCGCCAAAACTTCCATCATAAAGACGAAAGGTAGAAGTTTTTTTATATAAGTTACAATATATATTTAACCGATATATTTTTATTTACTCGAAGTATTTCGAATAGTACTAAAATCTAGTATTTATAATATATAAACTTAAGTAAGGTTTTGCAATAGATATATATATACTCGACCGTACCTACGAACAGAAGAGTTTACAACGTGTGCCTCTTCTCGCCTTCCGCTCCAAAGTGAACGGACTGGAACCAGACGACCGCGCCAAAAATTTCTCATCCGTCCCCCCTGGAACATGAATGACGTTGTTCCGATCCCTCAGACATTCTAACTTTTAACGACGATCCTTATTTTTGAATAATTCTATTTATTTTCTTAAATATTTCGAATTGTTTTTTAATGTTAGATATCGTTGACCTCTCTGACCTTATTGTTTCTTTTTTTTCTTATAACGACATTTTTTAAATTATTTCTCGATTAGTTGCATTAATATAATTCTTTACACGGAATTTTTCTTCTATTTTTTACAGTATTTGGTCGATAAAATGGTAAAATGTTCGTTGTCGATAACCGTTAACATCTACTTGTTATTCGTTCCTTTTTGTAATTTTTTGATAAATTTCAAATTCTAATCTTTTCAGTTTAATAAAATAGAAATGGCAGTTGTTTTAAACTATTTGGAAATTTCAAAGACAATTATTACTTTGTTTTTTAAATTCGTTTACTGATTTTCATTCATTCATTGATCGTTTCGACTCAAAATTAATGTTTTAAATCGTTTAAAATTCATATTTCGCACCTTCTTTAGCGTTTACAATAAAAATGCTTCGCTTCCTACACAAATTGGTATTTGTAATTTATTTTCCGATCTATTTGAATTATCAAGACGCCACAATATCATTTCGAGCAGCTGATCCGAAAACTACATCAATGGCCATCTTGAATATAATTACGCATGCGTGGATGGAAAAACGTTTGACGTCAAAGCTACTCTTCGCCGATTGGTAAGAATCGTTTCCTCTCATTGGTTAGCTTCCTTAAGTTGAATTTTATTGGCTACTTTCAGCGCAAAATTTAAATATTTATAAACCATGTGGTTAAACACGTGCTAGAATTTGACAGCTGAGAGAATGTAAACATTAAAGAAGTTTCTATTCAATGTTGTAATTTTTTACAGAATTTTTTTTTTATATTAAAAACTTTAATTGAAAACATTGTAAGAAATAGTAAAATGTAATAATACATATTTATTATTAAATAGATAGTTTTATGTAAAACATTTATTTTAATTATAAATTTGTAAGTGAATTAGAATTTTCATCTTTACATACTAAGAATTTATTTTGTCGTCTGTAACAGTTTAAAGAAAGTGTTAAAATGTGTCTGTTGTCCAAATTAAATCATGCATGACTCAAATTACTGTATGACTAAGTGAAAGGATCTCTAACGGTATGGTTCCTGAGTTAAAGAATACCCTAAGGGTACTTATTTCTAAGAATTACATTGTTATATATTAAAGCTTTATTTTAAAACTAAAAGGTTCATAAATTAAGTTTATGTAAAAAACACCACTTTAAATTCTACAGAATAATTTTGATTATATTTCCTTTATTCAAAGTTATTTTTTTAAAAATTTAAATAAATTATGCATTTAAAATTAAATCTAAAGTTATTAAGTATTCAATCATTAAAATACTTAGAAAGAAATGATAACAAGATAAAGGATTATAACAAATTGTGTTTTAGGAATAATTAATCAAATGAGTCATGCAAGAAAATACTTTGCTAGTAAATAGATATAAAGTTATTTGTAAAACTTTACAAACTAGCTTCTCAATTCTAATGGGCCCATCTGTTAATTGTTTACAGTTTAATGGAAGAGGGATTGTGAAAAGTATGTCATTATATCTGATGGGAACCAAGTCATTGTATATGTAAGCTATTTTTAATGAGATTAGTGACATACAAATTTCTTCTTATATAATCACTTACTAGTCATGTGAATAAACTATCAAGTTAAAAAGCTTCTGCAAATATTTTTCATTTCTTCAATGTCAGGAGTCCATAAACTATTGTAAACATAATTAAAGGATTTGCCAAAGTACACTATTCTATACAATAGGGAGGGGTCAAAAGTAAATCAAAAATTGTATGAACAATCTGTATTCAATGCTTGTATTTATGTTAAAGAATCAAAAGATGATCTTTTATTGTATTAATATACTTCATAAAAATTTTATTACTTCATATATATATATATATAATATACTTCATTTTTTAATGATTTCTAAATTTATTTCAGAAATTTTCTTAATACTTTGCAAAATGAAGGTTTGAACTAGTAATAATTTTCAGACAATTTGTACAATACAAAATTATTAAATCAGTTTCTTATAAAATCTATATGTATGAAATTCTTAATTAAAACTAATATATTGTAGCTGAAAGTTATACAGTATATTGTAAAATATCTCAATGTTTTATATAATTATGTATAAAAAACTAAATTACAGTGCTGATTAATTACAAACTAATTTAGAGAATCACACCTAAATGCAAAATTTCCAGCAAAGAAACAAAAACCATTCTATTTATAGAATGGTTTATTGTTTTATATTTCCTGAAGAGGGCCAATAAAGTAGTGGCCAAAAACATTTGAATATTGAATTTGGGTATTTCTTTGCTGGAAATTTTGTATTTAGGTGTGATTCTCTAAATGTACAGTTCCAGTTTTCTGTTAAAGTGGTTTATTACAAACTAATTCATTTTTAAATATAAAGTTTGAATACTTTATAAATTCTGAATGTTTATGTAGCTTAAAAAGATTAGAAGAATAATGCACTTATAAATTAGTATGAGGAAAACAAATATTCCTTTGCTTATAGTAAGAATATCATTTATGTTGATGTAAGCTAACAATCTGCAAAATTTAGAATAAGGAAGTCTAAAAGTATTATTTATGTTATGTTTGAAAAAATTATTAAAAGTTTTTACAATTGAAACAATTTGTGAAACATTTTAAAATTCTAACTTCTTCAATTTGGAAGTTGTTTTAGAATGTAGATGATGATGGGTAGGATTGATGGGATAAAGCAATGTAATATTTAGTGATCTGTCATGAAGAGGTGCCTTCCAGATAGACTCTTAGTGGAAACTGGCTTCTCATTAGGTGTTAACACATGAGAAACCCTGAAAAACAATGTGGCCTGTTGGTGAGCCACAAATCTGTAATCAACCACCAGTGTTCAGTGGCTTAGATGATGAACTGAGATTCAAAAACAGTTTTGTTAAATAGAAGTAACAACTTTTCTGATTAGTCCTTTTTTTTTTATGAATATAAAGTACTTTTTAAACTTAAATGACATTTAAGTAAAAATAGGTATATAATAGTTTGAATGGCTTAATTGTAAAATCTCATAATCCTACTTTTGACTGATCATAAACTTTGTCTATCTTATGAAATAATAAAAGTTAATAAATATAAAATTTTCATCTTATTCAACCTCAGCAAAATAATTCAAAATAAATTAACAAACACCTTTTTAAATTGCTGGGATTTGTTTTTATTTTGCTTATATAAAAGTGAAATAAAAGCAAATCCCAGCAGCGTAAAAAGGTGTTTGTTAATTTATTATAAATTTTCTTCACATTTATAAATTATTTTCTGGAGAAAAACTAAAATTTTACATTTCTATAAAAGTAGATATGAAAAATCTTGCAATTAAGATTATTATTATGTACAGTACTTATTTATGATGCATTATTTTGGTTTTATAATTCATAAGAAATAATAAATTACATCTTTGTTTAGCAGTATTGAACTAATTTTATAGCAATTATTAGTATCCATGTTTCAAAATTCTTAGATAAAATGTAATGAAACTGTTTAATATTTTCAAAATTAAAATAATGTAATAAAGAAATTCTATTGATTTCTTTGTGTAATTAAAGATGTAATTTTGCCTAAATAGTCTATATATTCTCACTTCAAAATAAATTATTTTATTCATTAAATAATTTTTGAAAATGTTTAATAATGACAAATTTTGAGCTATTTTCCAATTTTATACTAATGAAATTTTTTGATAATAGATAGTATAATGGCAAGTTTCATTTATGTTTATAGAATGACCATGAAATGAAATTATGAAAACTTTAAAAAACCTTAGAAAATTTAATAGTGATACTTTTTGAATAAAAATTTAAACTGTCTTTTAAAAATTCAGGATTTTATTGTCACTCAAATTTTATTCTATTCAAAACCATATTTTTAAACAAAAAATTTATCCACTTAACATCTATAAACTATAATTAATACATTTTTTTTTTAAATCATTAAGTTAGTTTAAATCATTAAGTTAGTTTTAGACCTATTTAACAACCTTGTTACTTTAAAAACTTAAAATTTTAGCTTTAACATATCCAATTTTATTATATTGAATTTTAATTCATGCAAAACATGTACTCTAAAACAATATATAACTTCTTTTAACATCTATGTTCTTACTGTTTTACATTTCTGTCTATGTGTTGTCTACTTGGGACTTGTTTATATAACTTATTATTCATTATCAAAAAACTGGTAAAAAAATAAAGCTAAAAATTTTTCATTTCTACTGCATATTCTAAAATAATGCCAATTTAAGTAATAGATGTTATCCTGTATTTGTTACAAAATAACAAGTATATGCACTACACATTTGTAAGAACTATTTGTAATGTACTCTCAAATCACATTTATATTAATACCAAATAATAATTAATTTTGATTATAAATACCCATGCTTATTATGAATACAATAAGCATACAAAATTTTATTTGATTAAAAAGTGTCATCATTTTTAGATAGATATATGAAACCCATAAGTTATTAAAAAAATTATCAATTGCAAGTGATCAATAAATCAAATCCAATTAATACTAACTCTTGTGTAGATCAGACAATGAAAGATATCCATCATATGTCTATTCTAAACCACTGTTACACTACACTATTATGATGTCTTCCTCATACTAGAAATTTAAAATGTTGCTTGAAGATTAATTTATTAATAAGTAATATCCCAAATGCAAATATTTGGATTTCTTAAATGAAGAATTTCACATAGTTTTTATAGCATGTATATTGTTTATTTATATCAACACAAATATTTTATATATCATAATATATTTCACATATATACATAATCAAAATTTACAATTTTAAAAACTACAAATTTTGTAAATCTTCAATAGCAGAATTAATATCCACTGGTTTCTCTTCTGCTGCCATTGGAACATTTTGAACTTTTACCTGAAAAGATAAATAATTGTAATTTTTAAAATAATTTATAAAAATTACATAATAATAGAAAACAACTTTATAATTACTTTAAGACATTTTGATTTTATTTCTTGGACATTAATAGTATTTTCATCCAACAGCTTCACATTTTCTCTTGTATTCTGCTTTAACTAAATTAAGAAACATGCACAATTTAAATTTTTCATATTAGATTCAGAACCAAAACAAAAAATTTTTTGCTAAAACCAAAAAATTATTTTATCTTAATAAAATTATTATATATTTTTATCTTAATAGAAGTATATGCTAAAAATGTAGCTTAGAACACTACATGCTAGGAAAATTGGATTTCCTTAATTATGAATGTCAATAGTTTGGTATTCATTGTTCTCCAATAAATTTGCAGGTGT